TTTACAGTGCGTGGAATGGTGCGCTGTGATTGATTGTTACCATTTACAGTGCGTGGAATGGTGCGCTGTGATTGGTTGAGCAGATATATCGCATTCTGCAGAAAAGGGAGACTGGCGTTTGTCGCGGTTTGGAAAAAAAGGGAGAAAACATGACAGAATAACTCGGCGGATATCGCATTTTGCGTAAAATTAAAAATTGACTTTTCAATACCGACCAGATACAATACTGATTTTGGCAGAAACTCAATTAAAAAAAAGAAGGCGTTTATCGCGTTTTGGAACCAAACTCTTCATATATTATGTTGAATGTGAGTATTTAACGAGTAAATCTCAAGGTCTTTTGAGATCCTGAGCTGCTCTTTCTCAGTAGATGAAGATGACTTTGACTATCAGTATACATCTGCTTTGCAGCTTTAGTTAATATTCATTCGATACTAAGTTAGATACTCTACCTCTATTAGATGAAAATGCTTGAGATTTCTGGGCATAAAATGGATAATTCTATGCACTAAAAAGCCATAATTAAATGAGTCTAAACTGCAAATTATCAGAACGTATCAAAAACATTAGTCTTTTCACTGTAATGTCATCTGTGGAGAAATAGTTCCTGTTATAAACAATTACTTGCTAATTCTTTATTTTTGTATATATTTATACATATTAATTTTCATTCTAAAAATACAGTATATGTGCTCAAAAGTTTGGGATTAGTAAGATTTTAAAAGACGTTTCTCATGTTCAAAAAGGCTGTATCTAATTGATCAAAAATACAGTAAAAGCAGTAATATTGTGAAATATTATTAAAACTTAAAATGACTGTTTTCTATTGTAATATATTGTAAAATGTTATTTATTCCTGTGACGACCATGCTGATTTTCAGCATCATTACTCCAGTCTTCATTCAATCTTTCTAATATGCTGATTTGCTGCTCAAGAAACATTTCTTATTATTATCAAAGTTGAAAACAGTTGTGCTGCTTAATAGTTCAAAAGAATATAATTTATTTCAATTAGAAAACTTTTGTAACATTATACATGTCTTTACTGCACATATTTCTTTATTTATATTCTGGTATGGTTATGTGAGACAAACTGCTCATAGCAGTTTATTCAAATTGGTTCTATAAAAGTGCATTTCTGATTTGAGAGTTCAGATTTTGCTGAGCTATTCTGTATTCCGAAAATGATTTTCTTTTTTATTCGTGTTTCAGATGGAGAATCATGCGTCTGATATTGACAACTGAAGGTACGTTGATTCTGTTCTCTGTATTTTATTTCATAGATGTATGTAAATGATTTTATACAGTTTATATTCATAATGCATTTATTCACTGAATCATTTTCACGGTCATTTAATGAATTATATTGATCATAGAATGCAATAAGTGCAGTACAGTCTTGTTTTTAGAGTTCTGCATCCAGAGATGAAATCAACTCTGCACTGAACAGAAGACATGAAACTCTGTGAAGACGGACATCTCTTTTTAAAGAGGCCATGAAGGCTCTCGATTGGCTGATCAGACGCAGAGCAAATAAGTTTAGCATCTGCTAGTCACTTTCACTGTTTTTCATTTAATAGCGTCTGGCACATTCAACCATATATGATTTGCATATCTCCTGTAAAAGACAAGTTCACATTTAATTTTGAAATTCATCATGCAAACACTAAAGTTCGTTTTTTTCCCTCAAGGATAATTTTCCTTAAGCAAAGATGAAAGGTTTTTACAGTCTTTGTGTGGAAAATGAGCCTTAAATGTCAGAAAAATGTAACATGGCATTTTTGAAACCTTCAGTATTAACAGAGAATTTATCGAAATGATTCTAGAATTTTAAAGATTTTGAAATATGAGGTCTGACAATGAACATGTTTCATTAGAAGCCAAACCTTTTTTGTGTTCTGTTTGTTTTTGAGTTCTTGCGTCTGCATTCCCTATTTTCTCAAAGTATGTTTTCTGTGTAAAATCTGATTGTGATTAAAATGCATATCAATTTGATATTCCTTGATTCCCAGACTAAATCAAGTAAAATAACTAGTTAAGTACTTGGCTGCCACATTAGTTTCATCAGACTCCTTATACTTACACACTTCTGAATGATTGGAATATTGTCAGACCGCTGTAACACTAAAAAATGAATTATGTCTTAATGTGCCATAATTTGTAATGATACTGTAAAGATGATATTGTACGTACATTGTCACTGTATTTTGTTTTAATCATGCATAGCTGTGTGTAAATCCGAGCGACATGTAGTAGTCACTGTTTCTGTTCTCTATGATGTCATTCAGTATAGAGTGTGTCATAATGAACTCTATTTTTGTATGGCAGATTTACAGAAAAAGCTTCAGAATATTCATATTTGTTCTGCTGACATTTTCATTCTGCTATTGTACATAATTTGTTGGTTTAAATGAGAATGTGGAAAGATTTGTATAGCTTAAAAAAAAAGAAAAAGATTGATGGAAAATGGATCTATTGGAAAAATGTGATTATTCTTTTCTATATTTTGAAATCAGTGTCATGTTTGAGAGAAAAACAATTCTATATGGTTTAGGTCACTGGTCTCATAACAGCTCAGCTCTGAGACCTAGTAATATGAGTGAATTACTTAATATTGTATAGAAATGTAAACTATTGTAAAGATATTTTTATGATTGGCATGTTAATTATTTTAATGTATTTTCAGTTGTTTCATTTGTTATTTGGCTATAGGTTTTGTGGTTTAGGAAAAGACTGCCATTACAATCACTATATAAAATTTGTGAAAAATAAAAATGTTTTTTCTATGTTCATTGTGGAGCAGAACTGAATGCGATCATTCAAATTCAGCCTAAATGCATTGGTTTTAAAGGAATGGTTCAACGAAATTTGAAAATGAAAATTTACCAAGATGTAGATGAGTTTGTAAATGAATTGGGAGAAATTTTGCATTACATGACTTGCTCACCATTGGATCCTCTGCAGTAGATGGGTGCCGTCAGAATCAGAGGCAAACAGCTGATAAAAACACCACAATAATCCACATGACTCCAGCCTGTCAATTAATATCTTGTGAAGCAAAAAGCTACATGTTCGTAATAAAATCCATCAAGGCATTTTAACTTTAAACCATTGCTTCCAGTTAAAATACTATAATAGTCCATAATCCATACCATTTCCTCTAGTGAAAAAGTCCATCCCCTGTTTGCCCTCTCACATTAAAATCCACCAACAAATTTGTTTAGAACAGTTTTCGCTTGTAAACAGTGCTTGATCTATGCAAATTTCTCTCCTGATTCAGAGGAGACAACTTTTTCACTGGAGAAAGCAATATTTTTCATAGAAGATTGAACGGTTTGAAGTTAAAAATTATTGTGATGTTTTTTAGACTCTCATTCTGACGGCACCCATTCACTGCAGAGGATCCATTGGTGAGCAAGAGATGTAATGCTAAATTTCTCCAAATGTGTTCTGATGAAGAAACAAACTCATCTACGTCTTGGGTGGCCTGCGGGTGAGTATTTCAACATATTTTCAGTTTTTGGGTGAACTATTTCTTCAAGAATAAAAGAAAAACATTTCTTGGTGGTCATAAGGCTATTCGCATGGCAGAAATAATTTGGCTGTGTTTCATTCAAACACTAGAATTATTAAATATTAAATATTACAGTTTGCCTTAAAATGCCACTTTTGAGCAACATTAAGCCTATAGAATAGTCTTAACTGCAGACAGAGAAAGCTGGCACTGGTATTGTGTGTATGTGAGGTTGGTGGGGGAGGGATCGTAGCACCTGTCGTGGTTTTGGATGCACCTGAGTGCAGCTGTAGCAGATGGTGAATCAAACACTCAATTTATCAACATCAAAACCAAATGTTTGGGTTAATTAGGGTCACTGGCTACTTCACATGGAATCAGTTCATTGTATTAACTTCTTCCCGATCTCATTTTCAGCAATATTCATGAGACAATTACCACTAAAATGAAAGAAGCTGTTTAGAAAGCACTCATTTGATTGATTAATTATATTAATATAAATGGAGAAAATGACCAAATAAGCATTATGTTGTAATACTGACTTATACGTATATGACAGCCATATTTGCAGACAAATCTCAAGAGCGAAAAAAAAGGATAGCAACATTTTTATACGCAATGACTTCATCTTTCATATCATAAACAAAATCACAACGACATCACATGGCATTTGTTGTTTACAAAATACGTTTCAGAATCCAATTATCATGACTTTATACATGGATGCATTAGCATTGGATGGATTCCATTCACATTACTATTCCCAAATAAGACTGAAAACAATTATACAGGTTTCGAATTTCATATTGCCTTAAACTGATAGGAATTCGCCAAATAGTCACATTTTTTCATTACTCAGTTTTGGCCTAATTTATTTTACAGTCAGCTTTGTACTATATCCTCCTGCAAAAAAAAAAAAAAAAAAGGAAAAGAAAAGAAATAAGGAATCCAATATCCAATTTCATATCCAAAAGTTAAAGTGGTTTTGCAGCATTATAAATACTCATCTCCCAGCTCACTGCACAAATCTTCATTAACATTTATATTATATTAGCTCAGCTTATATTATATTATATTAGATCATTATATATGCACTTTTTTTCTATAGGCCTTATTTGAAAAATATTAAAATGAAGTTGGTTGTTATGACAATAATCTGTGCAAAGTTTTCTAATGACTCACACTGCCATGTAAAAAATAAATAAATAATGGGTTTTGAGAGGTAATCTAGAGCTGACTATGAAATTAAACTATTACATTTAATTTTAGCTATGAGCAATTACTTAATAACTTCAATTATCTTTGCACACTCGAAAGCAGGTTTGGCATGATGTCATGACAAATAAGGGACAGATAAACAAGTCAAGGTCATCTGATGCGAAACAGATTTCATCGTGAAAAATAAAATAAATTGTTTGAAGACAGATTAATTCTTCAGAAATTAATGGTTCAAGTGTAACTTAATCTCTGGAAAACAAATAGATGTACAAACAACTTTCACTCAGAAATTGCTGTTAAGTTTTACAATAACATTTAAATGTGGAATTTTGAAGTAGAAAAACTGAAATAGTATTTTCTTGTAAAATGTACTCCAATAATCGGTTTTATTTACAACTTAAAAAATGATTTTTTAAATTGTAACACTTCACAGTAAGGTCATTATTTACCGTTAGTTAATGCTCATGAAATACATTTGTTACAGTATTTTTTCATCTCTGTTAACTTTTACTATAACTTTTTATTTTAATAAAGTACACTGTAAAAATGATTTCAAAGTTGTAAATACAACAGATTATTAGTGTTTTACAAGAAAATACTATTTCAGTCTTTCTACTTCATAATATAATGTTTAATTCAATGTTACTTACCGTTTCTTTGTAATTATTTGTGAAATATAGCAATTTCTGAGTGAAGATTTTCTACACCATTTTTTTTCAGTGTATTAGTAAATGTTGAAATTAACATTATACTATTAATAAATGCTTCAGATTATTTTTTCATTGTTAGTTTGTTGACTAATGTAATTAACTAATTTGCCTGCTGTCATGTTTACTTGATGTAATATTGTAAAGTGACCTTTTAGAGTTTGCAGAAAGGTACATAAAATTATTATTATTAACAAACGGAACCTTTAAAGTTCCATTAAAGTGAACTGAGGTTGCATTTACAGTAAGTTAAAGTGAACTGGGACTGCATTTTAAGGCCAAAGAAAGCACTGATGTCTTGTTAGACCATGCATCTCTTTCATTTTTAAGTCTTGCCACTCACCAGCTAAATCTCCATTCATTTAGATTTATTAATGCAACTCATTAAGAGTCTTCAGGCTGAGTAGTTTAATTACTATCGTCTGAGGAACAAAAGCTGTTGACATAGCTGTTCAAAAGCTCAGGTGGAAAGAATAGAACATTTTTATTTCTTTTTTTAGGATCGAGTGCAGATTCTGAGAGAAAATTGCATATTGATTTCCTTCAGCACTGTTGAAGTGGGAAAGGCTTCCATGTCCTCATCAGCTCCTGACGTCTGGGGTCCGTATGTTCCTTGAGTTTTGATTGAATGGACTGAACTGCTTCTGATAGGCAATGACTTGAAGAGGTCACGGGCCAGAAGCGCTCAATAATTATTATCTGCTATGATTTGAGATTTATGAGTTTCAGACATTGCAAATGTGTGCTATCTATCCTCCATTTTTGGGCATCTGGCCCTTGTACACTCAAAAAATAAAAGAAAATTAAAAATATATATAATAATTATAATCCCGACGAACCTTTTAAATAATAATAATAATAAAAAAACGCTAACTAAAAGTTTTTTTTTATTAAAAAAAAAAAACAGTTTAAATTATCTTTGTATAAATAGTTTTAATTTTACAAAGAATAAAAATAATTAAAGCAACCGTAGTTACCAAATGGTATAGCCTATTTTAAATCCTATGAATTTAGTTTTGTAAAAGCTCCTATTTTTAACAGATTAACTGAATTTCTAATAAATATATACACCATTTTAAAAATATTCAGTTCAGTTTGATGGAAATTTGTCATACATTTAATGTCTTAATATTATATATAATTTGTCATTTGTCTTGACTCCCTCAAAGAAGTCATAAAAGGATGTATGAAGTCATAACAATTACATGTACAAAGCCTTTCATTTTAGAAATTTAAATTGAAAATGAATTAAATTGAAATGAAATATAATTAGGAAGGAAGTTTCATTTTGTAATGTTTAGCTAACCACAAATGTTAGATTAGACAAAAACATAACCGTTATATTAGACAAAATTAGACAAAACATAACAGAAACTTATCTAAATCCCAACCAGTATTCATCTAATTTCTCTTAGGGAAAAACAAACAAATAAGAGTGAGTGAGTGAGTGTTAAACAAGTCTTATTTAATGTAAAAAAAAAAAAAAAAAAACTTACATTAACAATGCCAGGAATTAAAAATCTACTGTCCGGTTTCAGTTAATGCAATTAATTATTAAAAAATGACTCATATTGTCGACCACAAATGGATTAAGTTAAGTTCCTATTTATAAATTTAAGTGGACTAAACAATGAAATACATTTGTGATGAAAATGTTTTTTAATTTTGTTGTATTAGTTTATTTTAAAGAAATAGTTCACCCAAAAATGAAAATTTGCTGAAAATGTACTCACCCTCAGGCCATCCAAGATGTAGAGGAGTTTGTTTCTTCATCAGAACAGATTTGGGGAATGTAGCATTACATCACTTGCTCACCAATGGATCCTCTGCAGTGAATGGGTGCCATCAGAATGAGAGTCCAAACAGCTGATAAAAACATCACAATAATCCACAAGACTCCAGTTCATTGATTTATGCCTTGTGAGGCGAAAAACTGTGTGTTTGCAAGATTAGGTAAATTTAAAAAGCAGCAAAAATAAATAAAAAAAATAAAAAATCTAGAGTTTCCATACTAGCTACAGTTAAACACATAATTTAGAGTGAAAAATACTATTTGGCTATTAGAGTAGTACCTTCTCCAGAAGTTCGCCACTCTGAAAGTCACTAGATAATAATGACTGAAGGCTACAGCAGTGAAAGGGCAGGAGGGGAATCTCAACATCAATCCTCTTCTAGAGCTGACACCAGGATCAGACTTTCCTCCATCTGTCTTCAGGTCATGTACCCGACAGAAAGACTTCTCAAGGGTCTTTATGCAATCAGAGACTTTATGTTATCAATACTGA